ATTTAGGGATGAATTCAGGGAACCTGATTTGTGGTAAATGATAACCTACCCACCCACACCCACACCCACACCCACACCCACACCCACACCCACCCACACCCACACCCACACCCACACCCCCACCAACTTATTCCCTTGGCTGAAGGGAAGGCCATATGAAATCAAATAAGTTTGTCGTCATTCTACCGACTCAGAGGGGAGAGTATACAAGAGGATTCCAAGCTATTTACGATGCGTTTCGACCTTGCTTAAGGGTCATCATTAGGTAAATTTGGAACAGTATAACACTGCATTGGGCGTGGGTGGGTATGGGTGTGGGGTGTGGGTGGGTGTGGGTGGTGGGTGTGAGTGTGTGGGTGTGGGTGTGGGTGTGGGTGTGGACGTGGGTGTGAGTGTGGGTGGCTGTGGGTGTGGGTGATGGTGTGAGTGTGGGTGATGGTGTGAGTGTGAGTGGGTGTGGGTCTGTGTGTGGGTGTGGGTGTGGGCTGTGGGTGTTGGCGTGGGTGTTACTATTCTCTCTCACTACAGCCACAGCCACACCGACATCCACACGCCCTCACCCACACACCCACATCCATACCCACACCCCACACCCACACCCCACACCCACACCCGAATTCTTTTCGATTACTTCAAAATATGATTCAAGCATGTATTCGATTCAAAAAATTTCTGTTACTCAGAAAGAAAACACTTGAATATAAACAAAATGTTGAATATATTTTAATTCAAAGTATTATTCAATATGTCTGTAGTAGCCAAGCAATTGATGATATACAATCTGAATCGAATGAACTTATTCAATGTATGTCTCATCAATATGAACGAGCAATGATTCGCTTGTTAACATATCAATTTATTCATGTATTCGTTCAAAAGTTGTGTCAAATTGGAGTTCATCGAGTTTTATCTTTTTTCACGATCTATTTATCACATTTTAGAGATCCAAATGAAGAATGGTCATATTTAGATAATATTTCTGCAATCAATATTCAATTGAAAAAAAGATATTGGAAATAGTTATTATTCCATTATACAAACGCTTTTAACGTATGCATTACAACATAAGAATGATCAATCAATAATAACGGGTGGGGCAAAAGTTTTGCATTAGTTTTGTTTTTGATATAACTCTGTGACGGAATGTCGTAGAGACTTGATTGTTTTTTTGCTAGAAAGAGCAAAGTGTCTTGTACAAAAATATATAAAAGAATTTCATTGGAAATGTTTTTTGAAGGCCACAATAATTTTAGAACACAAGGTTTGGAAAAACTCTTCCGCAACTTTTGTCAAATTTTTTTTATCCAAAAATATTTGTTTGAGCTTTTTCATTATCCACTTTCGAAGCTTTTGAGCATCATATAAATACAGTTGTTCAATACAACGAAAGCTTTCATTTGGTATTAAAATAATTGATATAACATACACGAGAATGAATAAAAGACAATTTAATTTAAAAAAATTAATTCTTCGAATTTGGTTTTGCAGCGTGAAAACAAGTTCTTGTCTGAATATCTCACAGAGAAGTTGCGTCCTATTCCAAATAATATCATTTGGTAGAGGACTCAATAAGCTCTCTTTTTCGTATAAAATATATAGCTTCTAACAACCTCTCTTGCGAAATCGAGTTTATTTTTTCGACTGCTATCAACAGTGATGAAAAATCGGTGACTCAGACGGTATCATAAAAGCCTTCATTTCTTCCGTTATAAAACATGTAGAAAATTTCTTTTTCTGTAAAGCAATAGTACTCTATCCTTACATTATAAAATCTGGATTAGACCAATAACAAAGAGAATCTGTCTAATTATAGGAAATTTTTTCTAAGTTCAAAAATGTTGCGGAAGAGTTTTCTGGCGCCTTCTGTTCTAAGATCGCTGTTGTCTTAGGAAAGCATTTCCAATCAAATTCTTTTATATATTTTTGCACTAGACACTTTGCTCTTTCTAACAAAAAAAAATGAAATCTCTACGGCATTGCGTTCCAGAGTTATATCAAAAACAAAATTAATGCAAAACTTTTGCCCCACCCGTTATTAGTACAAAATATATTCAGCTTACTTAATTTATCTTATCAATCAGATGATATATTTTATTTATCTGATTATCACATTTTTGAAAGATTATTTACAAGATTTGTTAATTTTACGAATATATCTCATGGAGTGATTTCATTCTTCGAGACCTTCATTGGTTTTAATTGGATTCGTTTATACGTTTTACACTTATGTGATCATATTGAGATAAATGAACTAACAGACATGAAATATTCAAATTTCCAACATCTACAAAATCTCGTCTTTCATCAATTGTTCTTAACTCAATTAAAAGAACTAAGACAACTACTTTCAATCAATACTGAAAATAAATCTATTCAAAATGATTCATTTACTGATGTTGCTATTGGATGGTTTATTCAAGCAGCGAACAAAAACAGTAATCAATTATCTAAAATTCAAGTAGAACTCCTTCGAAGCCAATGGTTAATGTTACTACTTCGTTGTGTTTATTCCTATGAACATATACGATCATTTTGTTCTACTATTGAATATGTCGAAAAATTGTTCCATATTTATCGAACCAGTGAAAATCTCATTACAATTGTACTTGTATTAAAAATTTTACGTCAATTGATTTTATATTTGCCTGACAAATCTACACAAAATACATGTAAAACGATAGTAAAGAAATTTTTAGAAGATAGTTTATTGACGATCGCTAAGGGAATTCGTTCACATCAAATAAAAGTCGAAATTATCACCGAATTGATTTATATTTATCGAACTATTATTTCAAATAAATCACCATGGCAAATGATAGCAATACAAATGATTTTTTATATTATCACAACAGGTTTCAAATCCTTTGAACTAATCAATACCGATCAAATCAACAATCTTTTAGCAACACTCAGTATCTTAAGTGGATGTATTCATCCATTTTGTTTAGGTGCTATTGCACAAGTTTATGTTGATGATCAAACAAATAATAATGACAGACAAATAGCAATGATTCTTGAGATTGATTCCAATGCTCTTAAAAATTCAACCACAACAAAAACAGATGTCAAACCTTATTTTCTTCAATATTATGAAATAAATCAAACGAGTTGGGTAACCAATGATCAATTACGAATTGAACTTGATGTTTTATCACCAAATCTGCTTGACCTACCAATTACTGATGAAACAATTAATACATTATTTGATGCTCTGATCTATTCTATTGATATCGATCAATCAACTATAGATTCTTTACTTATTCTAGAATTAAAACATCGATCAATTGGCGTTTTATATAGATTGTTGACAAGTAAAAAACTTCTGGAAATATTTATGAAAAATTCATATGCTTCATTGATTGCCAACCTATCCACATCAACTTTATTTACAACACATCAATTAGAACCAACTGATTTACGTCTTCTGAATAAACGACATTTAGAACAATATTGCTTAAGTTTAGATCGATGTGAATATTTAAAACAAATCATTGATGATACAAAAATTTCTTGTCCAACGAATTCTTTTGAACAGACGTGGAAAAAGTTTGCATTAAATTCAGATCGATTAGATATTCGCCAATATTTAATAGAATATCGTCAATGGCAACCAATAGGACCAAAACAAGATATTGATGAATATAAATATGGTCGACTTGGTGATGAAGATATTCTAATTGTACCAATGCCTTCTGAGCTTACTGGTCAATGGATGATCGAAGAATGTGGTATTAATTATCGATTTCCTGGGAGGGATGTCATAATATCCATAACTCGGGTATCGAGATTTTATTCATAGGTATTAGGGTATCTATTCGATCCATTTCTCATTATTCACACGCACATAAACTTGAGCAATTTGAGTGAATTTGGCGTAACGAGATGAATATCCCATTCTTTCAGTGGGTACCCCCAAAAGTTGAGCAATTTGAGTGGATTTGGTGCAACGGGATGAATCTCACAATCTCTGAATGGGTACCCCCAAAATTTGAGCAATTTGAGTGCATTTGGTGTAACGAGATGAATATCCCAATCTTTTAGTGGGTATCCCCAAAAGTTGAGCAATTTGAGTGGATTTGGTGTAATGGAATGGGTATCCAAAATTTTTAGAGGGTACCCCTAAAAGTTGAGCAATTTGAGTTGATTTGGTGTAACGAGATTTGGGTATCCATCTCGTTACACCAAATCCACTCGAATTGCTCAACTTTTGGGGGTATCCTCCAAAAATTCTGGATATCCATTCCATTACACCAAATCCACTCAAATTGCTCAACTTTTGGGGGTACCCACTAAGAGATTGAGATATTCATCTCGTTACACCAAATCAACTCAAATTGCTCAACTTTTAGGGGTACCCGCTAAAAATTTTGGATATCCATCCCGTTACATCAAATCCACTCAAACTCCTCAACTTTTGAGGGGACCCACTGAAAGATTGAGATATTCATCCCGTTACACCAAATCTACTCAAATTGCTCAACTTTTCGCGGTATCCACTGAAAGATTGGGATATCCATCTCGTTACACCAAATCCACTCAAATTGCTCAACTTTTGGGGGTATCCACTAAAAGTTTTGGATATCTATCTCGTTACACCAAATCCACTGAAATTGCTCAACTTTTAGGGTACCTCCAAAAATTTTGGATATCCATCTCGTTACACTAAATCCACTCAAATTACTCAACTTTCGGGGCACCTCTAAAAATCTGGATATCCATCTCGTTGGATATCTCGAAGTGTTACTTGTCGTTACCCAGCTTATGGATATTATGACATCTCTGTTTCCTGGACGAGTTTGTTTAATTTCTGATGATAATAATAATAATACATTATCAGCAACATTTGTTGTTAATAATCTTCGTATGAGTGAAGGTAATTGATACTTTCGTGTTCGTTTCCTTGAGAGTGAATTTACTCAAAACGGATGGGCAACGAGCGGATTTAATCCAAATAATACAAACGGCATTGGTAATGATAAATATTCATCGTCATATGATGGATCTCAAGGACTACTTTACAATTCAGAAGATTATCCTTTTTTAACTGAAAATGTTCGTTGGAATACAAGTGATGTTTGTGGTTATGGTATTGAAATAGATGGTATCAATATTCGAATTCATTATTGGTTAAATGGTCGTTATTTAGGTACAGCTTTTTCACATGATTTTCTCCTAAGTTCATCAACAACATTATGTAATATGTTACCAAATGGATTTGGTGCAATCTATTTTCCAGGTGTTAGTTTAAGAGTCAATAATACATCAATATTAAGTTCATGTGAATTTGTATTTAGTCCAGAGGATATGTATGAATGTCCATTACCGAATGGTTATAAACCATTATTAGTTCCTAAATTAGTTATAATCGTTCCTTATCCATATAGTACATATTTGATTAGTGAACATGTTCAAGATAATATTTATCGAAAACGAAATGATTCTTCAAAAAATTTTCTAAAAGATTTTGTCAATGATGATCATCTGGAAACTATATTCACTGTATATAAGGACCAACTGATATTGCCAAAAGATAGTCAAGGTTTTCCAATAACTATCGATCATAATGATTCTTGGACAATTACGTTTGATTTTAATCTATATGAACTTCAACTTCATGATCTAGTATTAATCGCATTTAATGCTACAGAAGCATTTCAAATTCAAATACCATTAAATAAGATCACCGATGATACACGAACAGCTATTATCTTCGGTGTAAAATAACAACAGATTAATGTTTATCTGAATCATGAATGGCGAATATTTGAATGTCCTTTTTTTCATCTATTCAATCTTTGTCTTTTACCGTTGACAGCTGTAAAAATTCAAAATTTAGCTTATTGGAAATAAGCTTTATCTGAAGAACAAATACAACGTCTATTCAATTTTGGCCTATCACACATAACGATCGATTATCATCGATTTAAAGATTATCGATAGAATGCAAACACATTGACATTTACTCATAAGTAACAATATTTTGATAATGAACTTCTTGTACCAATGAATGTACCATTTGACATCAATCAATGGGGAAAAGTAAAAAATCAAGCAGATAAAGATGAATGGAAATATTTCAAATCGATCGATGGGACTAATCAATCAACTATACAACTATTTCGAAATAAAAATTATCTTGTATTGAATAAATCAATGGAATCCTGGTCGGAATATGTCTTAATTCTTGACATTTCCATCAAGCATTTACCAATAGAGAACGAACAATTGACATTAATCATATTAAGTCAATTGTAATTGATTATTTAATTTCAGATTTCAAGATAGATTCATGTCGAGAGGAACATTCGTCATGTATATAGAACCTTTCAGTAGCCCTGAAATAATTGTATTATGCATAACGACAGACATATCAGATTAAGCAAAAAGAAATCGATTGAATATTTTCGGTTTGTAATCAACGATTTTCATTTCAGATTTGAAAAATGATTTTAATCGGTTAAAAAGAAAACCGATTAAGAAGATTATAGTCGATTTTGGAACGAATGATGTGTCCATGTGGACTTTGTGAACAGTCATGTTTTACAAAACAATATGAACAGGTGAGCATTTTTCACCTGATTTTGTTGTATGCACGACGTTTCTTTGGAAGGTGTTGGAGTTTAAATGTACAACACATCCAACACTTGCGACGCGTATCTAAAATTACGAATGATTCCACTATTTTGTACGCGATAATAATCGACGTATGATACTGAAATTTTATGATAGTTTATTGAACTGAAGAATTTATAGAACTATGAAAATTCTTTATAAAACACTGAAGAAGAAAGCGGATGCTTTCGAAACGTCTGTAAATTAAATGTTTTTGTAAATAAATATGACTTATTATGGAAGAGTAGCTGAAACGGAACACATTACAATGTCCTTCCAGCTAAACACAAGGCGACAGTGAAACCGGTAATGGCTGCTAGTGTCCTCATCCTCAAATACGGCAGAGTTAAAGCCACTGATGAGTATTCTTTTTTCGGACATATGAAATCTGAATCTTGGCATTCAAGACTCACCTCACTCTGAACTTCGTTTTTTTCACAACAAAGAATATACAGAAAAGATAAGCAGATGATAATTGTTATCTAACATATTAAAAAAGCTCTTCACTATTTTCTACGTCTTACACCGATGTAAACACAAGCATGTTTTTTCAAGTTCTCACTCTTTCTTTAATATTAACGGTTTTAGCTAGACAAAACAATGGCCTTTCTTGTATTTACGACTGTCATTACAATGTCAGCTTTGATCAAGCATTTGAATTTCCATTGAGTTGCGACAAAATGTCTGAAGATTCTAAAACCTGTTTATTTTCGTTCGTGATTAACTATTCTACAAGGACAATACAAGTTGATTATCCTGTGCGAGACGACGCTCACAATACTTCTATGCCTGGAAGTGTTAAGTATGAGCTGACTACAGAGGTAACAATGAATTTTGAAAGAAAGTTGATGTTGGTTCAAATACATTGCAAATGTGCAGAACAGAACTGTACAACGGAATATTACGAAAATATCATACATACGATGATAAGTAAAGAATCGGATTTAAATAACATAAAATCAGTGCTTTACTCCGACCACTCAAACTCAAATTTAGTACAAAACTGTTTTGTTGGTGCGAAAAATAACACGCTTCCAATGTCCTGCCCAAATGGAATCTGTTATTCGGATACACGCTTGGCTTATACACAAAAGCGCTGTTATCTCTCAGAAGACGAAACGAATGAATTTGTATTTGGTTATTTTGGGTTCTATTACGCTGTAACATATTTTTATAGAAAAGACGATACATTAACTACGGTACTTCCGCCATATATTCGATACCAATGTCGAAAAGAGTTATGTAATGCACCGGAATACGAACCAATTTTTACATGTATAATAAATAATTATGTAAAATTTTCCAATGAGTCATGTGATAGTTTGGTATCGGTGACAACTATACATCCAATTAGCGTTAGTAGTACACGACAAGGAACTACAGTTGATATATCATCAACATTATCAAGGATTGGAAGTGACAAAACTGTTACACTGATAACCGGCTTTGCAATATTTATTAACTATTATTACTGAAAAGATATTGTTTGCAATGTCCTAAACTACGATTTTGTTTTCGATAATAATTCAGTTTTCAATTATTTTTTAATCAAACAAAATATTGAAATCGCTACATTGATTCTAAAAATCTTGGAAAAACAATAATATAAGTCAAAGCTCGCTCTAAGTTTTAGTTACTTTCCATTTGATATGTGACTTGCATAGGCGCCGAAGCCATTAGGCCTGGGTAGGTACGAGCCTAATCTAAATTGGATAGGTAAAGGGTTAAGTAGATTCAAGTCAGAACCAACAAAGGCTTGGGTAGGCTCAATTCAATGTGAAACATTTCTATTATTTGTTAATTCTCATGTTCTCCTGCAAGAGAAAAACAGCTGATTAGAAGTCCGATAATCGAGCCTAATCATTTGTAATCAAGTATGATCGGTAACATCCAAAGAAAGGAATCACAATCAGGTCTAAACTTTGTGCATATAAACATGCAGACTGAAATTTTTCAGAAGACAAAGAAACTTATTACAAATTATTCTCTCCATAGAAATTGGGCATCTTTGATGCAAAAGATAAAGAGCAGAACGTGAGGCATCTTCCTAAGAGATCAAAAGTACTTGGTTTCTTTCTCTCTCTTCTAATTTGTTCAAGTTTATTCAATCCTTAGCTATAGATAGAAATATGAAAACAGCACTAAAATACGTCAGACAAGAAGAAGAAAGACTTGAGGTGTGGGTGGGTGTGGGTGGTGTGGATGTGTGTCGGTGTATGGTGTGGGTGGGTGTGAGTGTGGGTGTGTGAGTATGGATGTACATAGGAGGAATACGCACAGCCACAGCCACACCCACTCACACCACAAAGTGGTCTTAATGCTCGTAATCAATGAAAGACTGTCACTATTTTTGCAATACCTGATGTCGTATCAGACTGTGGAGATAATGTAATTTTATATCGATGCATAATACCAATATCAATAATTGCAATAATTGCAAGAAATCCATCCACAGAATTCCAACTTGAACATATATATGTATTTGATCTAATAATAAGTCCACTTGCAATTATTTTAATCATCATTTTAATGGTAAAAATAATCGTACAGATATAATTAGTATAGTTTATTAATTGTCGTCCCTAAAAAAATGATTCTACTTGTTCGTTTTTAACTACAGTCCAAAGAAAATAGAAACTCAATGATTCCATAAAAAATTTCTAGATGAAATTGATGGACATTTCATCACAAATGTAATACAATTGAGAACGATAAAAAAAGAATAAAATAATCAAATAATTTTTCTAGAACTAATCATTGAAATACTTTGCGTAATCTACTAAATGATACAAATTGTTCATGTTCGAATTATTATCAGAAAAAATTTTAGTTATTCAAAGGTGAAAAAAGATAAAGTGAATAATTTTCTTGTTTCTTGAACCATCCAAATATTCGTTGTCCACAACATCGACTAAAACATGATTCAATTACCTAAAATAGAATATCTTTTGCTTATTAATGATAACATCCAGTGCAAATAGGAATATAGATTCGATTATTTTAATATGATACTGACGGATAGAGAAAGTAATAACAGATTAGTTTGTTTACATATAATTATTAAAACCGAAATAAATTTAAAATACAAATGAATATTTACTCCTAATTTTTGAGTTTTTGATTCAAAATGTGTATTCTCTTTAGTTAGAACATCTTTGATCTGTAGCTGAGTATCAGCAGCAATTTGTTTTGTACTATTAGTATTAGAATTCGTAGGTTCATTTTTGTTTTCTTGTCTGCTTGGATTTTGATTAGATGAATATTGTGAATTATCGATTGCTGATCGACATTGCACAATTGAAATTATATCTGTATTTGTTAGAATATTCGATTCTGGTTCAGTTAAATTCTTTTCATCACATAGCATACTAGTTAATAGATCTTTGTGTTGACTATGTGTCTTATCATCATTGTTACTATCACTATTTGTTGTCCCATCTTCTATATATATATATATATATATATATCATAAAATAATTAGAAAATATTTAAGAGAATAATTTAATTTACTTCATTTACAAAACTTTCAACAAGAACAGCAACAAGCAAATTGCATTATACATAACTGCCAAATGTGATGAGTACAATAAAATATAATACTGATCATACACTTGTTTTGTTTATTACATTATAAAGAATTAAAGTCCAATCGTTTTGTACTACTATCTATATTATATCATACAGCGTGTGGGTGTGGGTGTGGGGTGTGGGTGTGGGGTGTGGATGTGGGTGTGGGTTTGGGTAAAAGAGAATATAACACCCACATCCACACCCACACCCACCCACCCACACACCCACCCACCCACACTCACACCCACACCCACACCCCACACCCACCGACACCCGCCCACGCCCACACCCACCCACACCCTAAGCCACCCACACCCACACCCACACCC